GGTGCTCGTGATTGGGGCAAGCGGCGGGGGCTGCGATTCAAATGGCGAAGCATGGGGGGCCAGTGAAGTAGTTGATGGTGTGTGCTTCGCGAAGTACGACGAACTGGTCGATTCCTCGACCGCACCATCCATTACGACGTGCAATCGATCGTGGACAAAGGGCACTTTGACTTTGTGTTTGACTCGGCATTGGCACCACCGGCGATGACGACTTGAAAACGGCGAAAGCAGTGCTGACCGATCCGTCCAAGCACCACGTTACTCTGAGCGGTCCTGCTTCGTTTTGGCTGCGACGTCTCTCTGTTCCGGGTCGTCACAAGCAAGAGCATCAGGGGTTCTTGTCGGAGGTGTAGTCGTGGAACTCGGTACACACAACCGCTTCAAATTCGTCGCTTCGACGACTTGAGCGTCACCGTCGCATGCTACAAGCGTCTGGTGGCACCAAGATCCTCCATCTCGTGCGTGGATCTCCTCTGTACATGACGCTGGAATACAAAAGCGCGGCACCGGTGTCGGACGCGAATATCCTAGTGTCGATTCATTTTCGAACCATCGATTCACTATCTGCACCGTCCTTGGTCGCCACCACAGCTCTTCCACAGGAAACACGGCATGCGATGCACTCCGCGTGTGCCAGTGCGCGAAATTACACTGCGGCGTACACAGCAACTAGCCCGTAGCCATGCGATATTTCACCATGGGTGCTGTATTGGCGGTCGTTGTTCATGGGTCGCACGTGAACCACCGAAGCATCTTTCTTGTTGCGACGTGGCGAGCGTGGAAGTGCTTTGGCAAGATAACGCAGCCTGTGCGGCGGACTGCCAACGACGCCAACGACGTCGAGTGCATGTCTATCGATGGCATGTCGTGCGTGAAAATGCCCACTGTAAACATGCAAAATTCACGGCACAGCCGCCCCCTGTAACCAAGACCATTGTGTTGTGCCCATCCAACGCGGGAGTCGCACCACGGGCCACGGACGGTGTTGCAAACCATCTCGCGAGATGCGCCACGGTGTTCTGCGTGGCATAGCAGCCTGGGTCGCCCGTGTGTTTGCCCCGCTGTATTGGAAAATCGGCTTATGTGGATTAGTGCACCGAGCAGTTGGATTGGTTGCTAGTCTGCATACAATTACCAAGTTGACGCTCAAGGAGTACTTAGCTTGTGAAGGGGTTACGCTACTGAATGGTAGTCATTAGGGCAGCCCCCTCTTGAATACCAGTGTTGAATTTGCCT